CGTGATTCTGATCATAAAGTCAAATAATGGAATTAAGGAAAGTATAACGTCTAAGTTACAATAAGAAAAACTAATTTTATTGGATATATTTTCTGGAATATTTTTATTGTACATTGTAGGTTATCTCGTTACGAGCGCATAAGCAAAAATCTCATCGAAAACGGAGTTCCGAGGGAAAAATTGTGCAATTTTTAGTGTTTAGTAGTCAAAATGTGTACCAAACCGGGTCAGCCCGACCCAACTCGAGTTTAAGACGTGAAAAACCCCAAAACATCCTCATTTTACCCACATTTCACCCAAAATCAATACTTAGTGTTCTAAGGTGAGAGAACACACATTTAAAAGCTAATCTAACCCTAAATCAAGTTATTTTAACAAGATTTTTGAAAGATTTGTGAAGAAATCAAATGTAAAACTCACCTCCTAGTCTTGTTTTTGTTTTGTACATAAATTGATTAGTTTTGAGTCCATGAATTTGATGATTTATAAATGAAATAATGTTAAGATTAAGTGTTATTATCTGTTAGTATGTGAAATTGATGGATGGATTGTAAGATTTCTTGAAATGTATGATGTAAACTCAAGAACATGTGTTGACTTTTAGGAGTCAAAGTTAAATATGAAGAAATTGGTAAAAAAAAAATTGATGTTATAATCATGGTTTATGATTGCTTTATTCTGTAATATGGTAAAATAAGTGAATATATGAATTTGGAATTGATTGGACTAGTACTGGTCATGTTTTTGGATGAAAAATGGATGTTTTGAGCATATGTCACATGATTACAGCCCTGTCTTTGAAAAATCATAGAAATTCGTATAAAATTCCTAAAAATATGTATAAATAGGCCCTGAAAAGTTAAGAGAAAGAGATACAACTTATCTTCAGAGGTTCAATGGTGATTTTTAGTTTTAAAGGGTCAAAATAGGTCTGCAAGTTGAGTGTTTAGAATGGAATTCAAAGTAGAGTGCCTCAATTGAAAATCGGATTTGTGTGAGTTCATGATGTGGATCACTAATGAGACTTTGAATATGAGTTTCAGGGATGGTTTAGTATTGTAAGGAAGTCTTGGAGGTGGTTTTCAACCTTCGAATTGGAATTGGGATTCAACCACTCGGTTTAATGCAACCGAATTGTAATGTGAGTTTACTTAGATATGTGTCAATTATGTGCTATATGTGCTATCCTTATGGTCTTGATACTTGTTATACCACTATCACTCCTTGTAATGGTTTGTTTGTTACTTTGTTCTTGTGTTGGGTGCTAGTTGTCGGATACCTTTTGATCCGGGTGAGACAACCGGAGTGGGCTGTCCCTACTCATCTGTCCGGGGATGGAGGATGGTTATTGCAAGAAGATGAGGAGAGGGTTTGTACACCATCCGGGAGTGGAGGGAGAAGGATTGTTCAGTCAAACCTAATGTTTGTCGGTTTTTTTTTTTGTACATAAATTGTTGGTTAATGTAATAGCTATACATAACATGATTATGAGTATCTGATATGTTTGTGGGATAAGTTCATGTGATCGAGTACTCATTGAAAGTTTATTGTCTTTGTTGTTTCCTTGAGAACCTATGCTTTGATAGCCCATGCCTTTGATGATAATTGACTTTTGTACTCATTGACTTCCCTCGTATGTGAACTTATGTGAGACATGATTCACAAGATATCCATTTAAACTCACTAAGCGTTTGTTAGCTTATCCTTCTAGTGGTAAACATTTCAGGAAAAGACGATAGGGGTAAAAAGGAAGTTGTTTGACCGTTGATTCTTCGTGTCAGAAGCAAGGATCATCATCTTTTGGTACATGGTAGTTTATATTTTTTGTGGTAGTACTCGTAAAGTTATCACTTTTCTGGGTTGATGTTTTCCCTGATGAACACTCTTCGGTATTTTAGATGTAAATGTTGGTACAAAACTTATCTTTTGATGGTATATATATGTATCCCGTATTTTGTTGAGATTTATCTTGTAATTGATCTTAAGAATTATGCGGTAATTGTGCTTTGGTTGTGTTACAAATATGGTATCAGAGCAAAGGTTTAAGTGACCTAGGTACCGGAAATGGTATCTGGACTTAAACCTAGGCAATGAGATTGTATAGTAACTATGTTTGATTTATACGGGATACGGACCATAGGAAAGACCTAAGTGGGTAAAGGGAAATTTATCAGGATGTTGTTTAATATTATTGGTACTTGTCATTTTTAGAACGATGACTGATGAGGGTGATGAAACCCTAGGCCATCACTTGAGTACTGATTCACTTTTCAAGGAGGGTGCTCCTTTAACTCTTTATGGTGAATAATTGATGAAGTGGGTTACCGATTTCATGCCACAAGCTCTTAGAGAGCAAAGAAAGGAAGATATTGTGAGAGGGAAGCGGGATGATATGGGTGCCACTTCTCAACCCAAGTCCACCCAAATTTTGTTTAAATCATTCAAAACTTGTGGAGCAACTGAATTTAATGGGGTTTCAGATCCAACTGTATCCATCAAGTGGCTACTAAACATGGAAAAAGTGTTCCGGATCTCCAAAGTCTTGGAGAAGGATAAAGTTAATTATGCGACTGCTTTGCTTGTGAGTAGTGCACTGGTATGGTGGGACACAACCTACCAATCTCTGAAGAAGACCGAAAAAATACTTTCACTTGGGAAGGCTTCAAAACCATTTTTCATGAACAATATTGTCCCGCTGACTTGCAGAAGCGGTTGGGGAAAGAGTTCATTGACATTAAACAAGGAGATTTGACTATGGTGCAATATGAGACCCAGTTCAATCTGAAGGCACGTTTTGTTACTTCTGAACGACACAATATTGGACATTTTGTTGATGGTCTGAGGAGAGATATTAAAGAATTTGTATCGAATTGTGATCTTACAAGTTTTCGGAGGACGGTTGAGTATGCTCGACTATGAGAGCACGAACTCTCTCTCTATGGTGAATCCACACCCGAACCAAAGAGACAGAGAACTGAAAGAACAACTTCTGTACCTGCAAATCGACCTAATCGATCTTTCAACTCGAGAAGGAGTCATCCCCAGAGTGCTCCTCGAGCCCCGTCTCGAGCCTATTCCATGCAGGTATAATATTATGAATACAAGTAAAATGAATATGTGAATTGTGGAACTAATATAAATTCTTTGTAGTCGAACACACCTCGCCCTTGCCAATGATGTGGCAAAAAACGCACCCCGGACGATGTTTCTCTGAATCTTCCAAAATTACGTGTTATTGTTGTGGTGAAATTGGGCATGTTCGTACAAACTGCCCAAGGCGGGATCGAGCGTGTTATACATGTGGAGTTTATCGACATCGTCAATCTAATTGCCCAAATGCCCCTTGTTAGGAGAGTAAGACCTCAATACAACAATTGATGGTTGGAGGTTCTTGAATGTCAAAATGGGGAGGTACCAAGAGCAAAGGCTAGAGCGTTCCAGATCACAGCAGAGGAGGCTCGAGAGGAGCCGGATCTCGTCACTAGTATATTTTTTTGTGAATTCTCGTCCTGTACGTATATTACTTGATATGGTGCTACGAATTCCTTCGTGTCACATGCCTATGTTCGCTTTCTCGAATCTGTGCATGTACTTCTTGATAGACCATTTTCTGTGAATATCGCTAATGGAATCACTTAGTAGCTGATAAAGTATTCAAAGACTATACATTAGTGTTGGATGATCAAAACATCTCTGTAGACTTAATCCCTATAGATATACATGACTTCTATGTGGTTATTGGTAAGGATTGGTTAGTAGAAAATCGGGCGGATATTATTTTGCTTGCAGCGGATGATCCGAATACCGGTTGATAAAGGAGATTATATTTAAGTGTACGAAAAAAAGGCTCGGTGACATCAAGATAATTTTTGTACTCAAAGCTCGTTGATATTTATCTAAAGGGTGCTCTTCTTTCATAGCATATGTTTTAGATGCCACCAAAGAAAGAAAGAAGTCGGCAAAGGATGTACCCATAGTTTGTGAATTCCAAGATGTCTTTCCTGATAGGTCTACCACCGGACAAGCAAGTAGAATTTCGAATTGACCTTGTGTCAGGTGCTGGACCGATTGCAAGGACACCCTATCGTCTTGCCCCAACAGAAATGAAGGAAATGATGAGCAAATTACAGGAGTTGCTAGATAAGGGTTTCATCTGACCGAATACTTCACCTTAGGGTTCTTCGGTGTTATTCGTGAAGAAGAAGGATGGTTCATTTCGCATGTGTATTGATTACCGCGAGTTGAACAAGGTAACAATCAAGAATAAATTTATGTTACCTTGCATTAATGATTTGTTCGATCAATTGCAAGGAGCGAGTTATTTCTCCAAGATCGATTTGAGATCTGGATAACATCAGCTCAAGGTACGAGATTAGGATGTACCAAAAATGACTTTTCGTACCCAATACGGACAATACAAGTTTTTGGTAATGTCGTTTAGTTTGACGAATGCTCCAGCTGCATTCATGGATATAATTAATTGAGTATCTCGATCCATGCTCGACAAGTCTGTTATTATCTTCATTGATGACATACTTGTATATTCTATGTCCGAAACCAATCATGCTACACATCTTCACCAGATGTTGGAGCTACTAAGAATGGAGAAATTATATGCCAAGTTCTCGAAATGCGAATTTTGGCTCTGAAAGGTGCAATTCTTAGGGCATATGATCTCTGGTGAGGGTGTTTCTGTCGATCTGTCTACAATTGAGGCAGTTCAGAAATGGGAACAACCAAAGAAAGCCTTAGAAATCTGTAGTTTTCTTGGTTTAGCGCGTTATTACCGACGATTCATAAAAGACTTTTCAAAGATTTTTGTCCCCCTTACTTCACTCACCCGCCAAGATGTGAAGTTTGTATGGACTAAAGCACAAGAGAAAGCTTTTCAGACCTAGAAAGCTTGTCTGACGAATGCTCCTATTCTTGCCTTACCCGAAGGTAACGATGACTTTGTGGTCTATAGTGATGCGTCAAAGTTGGGATTGGATTGCGTATTGATGCAACGAGGCAAGGTGATTGCATATGCCTCCCGACAGTTGAAGGACTATGAGAAGAACTACCCCACTCATGATCTTGAGTTGGCAGCGGTAGTGTTTGGTTTGAAATTATGGCGTCATTATCTCTATGGAACGAACTATCAATTATTCACGGATCATAAGATCCTGAAGTATATTTTCGATCAACAAACTTTGAATATGAAACAACGAAGGGCCATGGAGTTAATAAAAGACTATGACTGTGAGATACTCTATCATCCTGGCAAAGCCAACGTAGTGGCAGATGTTTTGAGTCGAAAGACGTATGTCTCTTATATGTGTTACGTCATCACTCATCTGTCTATACAGTTTATGCTTATTGATGATCTACGAAGATGGCAAGTTGAAGCCTTAAAACCTGAACACGTGAAGTCCGAGCGGATGGTTGGATGCATAGATTCTCTTTTAGAGGATAGTTGTGGCTTGAAAGTGTTTAGAGCCCGAATCTGGGTGCCGAAACTTGGTGGTTTATGAGAGACGGTTCTAGCAGAAGCTCACAAATCTAGAATGTCTGTTCATCCTAACGGTACAAAGATGTATCACGGTCTGTGTACTGAGTTTTGGTGACAGGGTATGAAAGTGGATATCGGGCGTTATGTTGGGAGATGCATTACGTGTTTGCAAGTGAAGGCTGAACACCAAAATCCTTATGGTAGTTTACAACCTTTGGAGGTGCCAGTTTGGAAATGGGAAGAGTTGACCATAGACCTCGTAACGAAATCGCCAAAGACTTCTCATCAACATGATAGTGTTTGGGTGATTGTTGATCGGTTGACAAAAAGTGATCATTTTCTCGCAGTTCGGGAAGATTATTCTATGAATCGTTGGGCACAAATATACATTGATGAGATTATTTCTCATCATGATGTACCGATAAAGGTAGTTTTTGATCGTGATTCTCGGTTTACCTCGAATTTTTGGTCGAGTATGCAAAGTGAATTGGGGACGGGTGTTGCACTCAGTACCGCGTATCATCCCGAAACTGATGGACAGTTAGAAAGCACAATTCAAACCTTGGAGGATATGTTACGAGCTTGTATCTTGGAGTTTGGTGGAAGTTGGGATAACCACTTGCCACTCGTGGAATTCTCGTATAATAACAGTTATCACTCCACAATCGGTATGGCTCCATTTGTGGCTTTGTATGGACGTAAGTGTCATACACCTCTTTGCCGGAGAGAAAGTGTTGGCCAGACCCAAGTTAATTCAAGTCACACATGATAAGATACGGATTATACATGAAAGAATGAAAGTGGCCCATGATCGACAGAAATCTTATGCCAACAAACGACGACTACCGATTCAGTTTGAAGTGGGAGATATGGTGATGTTAAAGGTATCATGTTGGAAAGGAATTCTACGGTTTGGCAAAAAAAGGGAAGTTGGATCCACGTTTTGTTGGACCATTTAAAATCCTTGAGTGCATTGGAAAACAAGCTTATCATTTAGAGTTGCCAGAAAACACTCTGGTATTCATGACGTTTTCTAGGTAGGCTATCTAAGGAAATGTTTGGGTAAACATAATGAGAATGTTCCATTAGCGGAGGTCAAGTTGGATAAAAGATTGAGGTACATAGAAGAACCTGAAGCCATTCTCAACGAAAGAACCGTTAATCTTCGAAACAAGATCGTAGATTTGGTGCTTGTTAAATGGAAGCTTCACCGTGGTCCAAGTTGGACATGGGAGAACAAAGATAAAATGAAGACCAAGTATCCGAAGTTATTTGAGAGACCTTGATTTCGAGGACGAAATCCTCAAAAGGAGGAGGTATTTGCAACATCCATCTTTCTAATATGCCTTAATTTTATGCTTAAATGTGATCGAAAGGTTGGAATACCCATAAATATGTTTGAGTAAGATTTAGGAGTGGTTATATGTTAAGAAATCAAGTACGTTGCATTTTGACTAAGTATGTGTTGAAAATATCATTCTTTTCGGTATGGTTTTGAGCACTGGGTTCGAACGAAATACTTTTATGGAATTTGAAGGTTTGGAACTATGTTTATAATCATTTGGGAGGTATTAAAAGTGTTGTACAATTTTTACGTGATTAAGATCATAAAGTCAAATAATAGAATTATGGAAAGTATAACGCCTTAAGTTACAAATAAGTAAAACTGCGTTTATTGGGAGATATTTTCTGGAATATTTTTAAAGTAAGTTGTAGGTTATTCGTTACAAATGCATAGACGAAAACCTCATGAAAAACAGAGTTCCAAGGGAAAAGTTATGCAATTATTAGTGTTTAGTAGTCAAAATGGGTATCAAACCGGGTCAACCCGACCCAACTCGAGTTTAAAACGTGAAAAAACCCAAAACAGCCCCATTATTGAAACCAAATACTCTTAATTTGCAGAAAATACAGTTTATGAATAATAATAATGAAAACAAACAATGTATCACAAATGATTAATCGAAATATTCAAAGTGTAAATAAGAACGATGAAAAGACTTGAATATGTCGAATGCTTTTATTTGATGAAAGTAAAGAACAATCAAATAAAATGTAATCTCACAATAAATAGGTATAGCATAAGTCAGCACTCTTAGGTATATTGAACCTGAGGAGGAAGCCTCCTTATATACGCCTAGGTCTAACAACTATGCTATAAAATTGGCTTGAAACACTGAGCTGATGAGTCTTCATCCTTATTTTTGACTTCCTTTGAAAATCGGAGTAGACTAGGTCAAGCCGCCTCAAAACAGTTAGATGCTTGCGAGAATGTCTGGGCTTGCACGCGCATTCCATGGAGAATGTGATCAGAAGCTCTGTTTGTACCATACAGAAGCTCTGTATGTACTATCCAGAGGTTCTGCATATGCAGAGGCTCTGCATGTACTATGTAGAGGCTCTGGGTCTTGGAGTGGTAGCTTTGTGTTAAGCGCTAATGCTTTTTGGCGTAAAAGGCTTGATCGTCCACGGGAATAGAGTGTGGGCTCTGTATGATTGGAACCTTCACTCTTTGAGTAAGAGCTCTGGTTCTTGATCTTCTGCATGAGAGCTCTTAGTCCAGACCGCTTCAATAGACTAAGTCTTATTGACTAGAGTAAGAGACTTCTTACTTACACTTTCACAAGTTAAGGTCCAATACCCATTTTACCTACATTTCACCCAAAATGAATACTTGGTGTTCTAAGGTGAGAAAACACACATTTGGGAGCTAATCTAACCCTAAATCAAGTGATTTAACAAGATTTTTGAAGGATTTGTGTAGAAATCAAAGGTAAAACTCACCTCCTCGTCTTGTTTTTGTTTTGTATATAAATTGATTACTTTTGAGTCCATTCATTTGATGATTTAGTAATGAAAATATATTAAGATTAAGTGTTATTATCTGTTAGTATGTGAAATCCATGGACGAATTTTAAGATTTATTGAAATGTATAATGTAAACTCAAGAACATGTGTTGACTTTTAAGAGTCAAAGTTAAATATGAAGAAATTGGTAGGAAATTGATGTTATAATCATGGTTTATGATTGATTTATTCTGTAATATGTTAAAAATAAGTGAATATATGAATTTGGAATTGATTGGACTAGTACTGGTAATGTTTTTGGATGAAAATGGATGTTTTGAGCATATGTCAACATGGTTACAGCCCTGTCTTTGAAAATCATAGAATTCGTAAAAAATTCCTCAAATATATATAAATAGGCTATGAAAAGGTAAGAGAAAGGGCTACAACTTATCTTTAGAGGTTAAATGGTGATTTTGAGTTTTGAAGGGTCAAAACAGGTCTTCAAGTTGAGTGTTTAGAATGGAATTCAAATTAGAATGACTTAATTGAAACAAGATTTGTGTGTGTTCCTGATGTGGATCACTAATAAGGCTTTTAATATGACTTCCAGGGATGGTTTAATATTTTAAGGAAGTCTTGGAGGTGGTTTTCAACCTTTGAATTGGAATTGGGATTCGACCACTCGGTTTGGCATTCGGTTTAATACAACCGAATTGTAATGTGAGTTTACTTGGATATGTGTCTATTATGTGTTGTATGTGTTATCCTTATGGTCATGATACTTGTTATACCATGATCACTCCTTGTAATGGTTTGTTTGTTACTTTGTTCTTGTGTTGGGCGCCAGTTGTCGGGCATATTTGGATCCGGGTGAGACACCGGAGGGGGCTGTCCCTACTTATCTGTCCGGGGATGGAGGATGGTTATTGCAAGAAGATGATGAGAGGGTTTGTACACCATCAGGGAGTGGAGGGACACGGATTTTTTAGTCAAATCTAATGTTTGTTGGTTATTTTTTGTACATAAATTGTTGGTTAATATAATAGCTATGCATAGCATGATTATGAGTATCGGAAATGTTTGTGGGATAAGTTCATGTGATCGAGTACTCGTTGAAAGTTTATTGTCTTTGTTGTTTCCTTAAGAACCTATGCTTTGATAGCACATGCATTTGATGATAATTGACTCTTGTACTCATTGACTTCCCTTGTATGTGAACTTATGTGAGACATGATGCATAAGATATCCATTTAAACTCACTAAGCTTTGTTAGCTTATCCTTCTAGTGGTAAATATTTCAGAAAAAGAAGATAGTGGTAAAAAGAAAGTTGTTTGACCGTTGACTGTTCGTGTCGGAAGCAAGGATAGTCATCCTTTGGTACATGGTAGTTTATATTTTTGGTTAGTACTTGTATAGTTGTCACTTTTCCGAGTTGATGTTTTCCCCGATGAACACTCTTCGGTATTTTAGATGTAAATGTTGGTACAAAACTTATCTTTTGATGGTATATACATGTATCCCGTATTTTGTTGAGATTTGTCTTGTAATTGATCTTAAGAATTATGCGGTAATTGTGCTTCGGTTTCATGTGTGTTACAATCAGTATGAATAACCTTAAAATTTTCACCATATCGCATAAGCTTAAGACGATTATTAGGAAATCTTGTTTTTTTTTTGTTTTCCTATGTTGTGATTCGTCCACCAAGGGTGAAATACCAGCCATAGTGAACAAGAATAAACAAAAAAAAAACAGCCAAGAATAATGAAAAACTTTGAGAGACAAATTCTAGACAGAGAAAATAGAGGAGAGCTGGAAAAGGTGGAAAAGGAAGAAGAAAGCAGAAGAAAGTAAGGTATAACTAACCAATTTTGTTAGAGAAAAGTCTGAAATTGTGAGAGATAATCAATGTATCAAAAACTTGTACATCATGCTTTATGAGTTGCAATTAAGATATTTTTGAAATTCTTACATAAAATGGTTGTACCTTGTGTTTAAAGACTTGTACTTAAGACTTTGGTTTAAATGGTTATTAATGTAGTATATACATATATAACCATAGGTTATTTTGAGTAGTGGTAAATATTTGAGAAGTAAGGAAGTGATCCTATCCCTTAATACGTTCAATATCATATTTGACTGGTCAAGAATTGCGCATTCGATGGGTCAAGAGTAGCTGCTATGCAAAAAATAGAGGAGGTAGTTTTGTAGCTTTTTACAAATAGGCAGAAAACGGGTTCATATGTGAACCCATGTGATTCACATATGAACTATATGTTCATATGTGAATCTGTGTAATTCACATATGAACTACTTTAACTAATTCACATATGAACGCGTGAGATTCACATATGAACCTGTGTGATTCACATATGGACTAATTAGCTGATTCACATATGAACTAATTAACACATTCTCATATGAACCCATTGATTCATATGCCTGTTAATTAGTTCATATGTAAATCAGGGTTCATATGTGAATCAAGGTTCATATGTGAATCAGTTAAATAGTTCACATATGAACTAATTAACGAATCGCATTGAACTAATTAACGGATCGCATATGAACATATATTTTACATATGAATCACATGGGTTCACATATTAATCTATTTGCTGCTTATTTGTAAAATTTACGAAACTATCCCTCTACCTTCTGGTACTTCACAGTCGAAGCCGCAAATATTGACCAAATGAAGGGCTAGGATTACATTTTTACTCCTCAAATACTTACACCACTTCTCAAATGAACCTTTGCCTATATGTATGTACATATGTATGTATAGGAGCTTGTTCAACTGTTAACAAAAAAATTAGTGTTAACTATGTGAAGCAATCTTAACCTTTTACTTTTTGTGATATACATTGGTAGAATTTTTGTAATACTTTCATCTATGATATGTATTAAACAAAGTGAACCATAGCGAACAAAAGTATTTTTGGAAAAGATTAGGGATAATTCTTTAAGGAGTCAAGTACATTTCCCGGCAATTACTCCTTCATCATAGCGTTCATGTTCAACGATTATATTTTAAATTGTTAGGAATAAAATTCAGTGTAAAATTGTATTCGTCTTGAAAGATAAAAGTGTCTATATAAAAGTCGTCGTGTTTGACTTTTCTTAGGACTGTTTGACTTTGATTTTGTCTTGTAGTTTGACCCTATATAAAGGGTGTTTGTCTTGTAGTTGTAGTAGGAAGCTTTCATTTTAAAATCATTTACGTAATAGAGAGTTTGACCAGACTTTGAAGATTGACTTTTTCTCTCTATCTCCTCTCATTGTATTCTTGCAATATTATACAGATCTGCCATGGAATCCTTGAAGTTTACTTGAAGATTGATAGAGTGGGACACACAATTGGTATCAGAGCAGGAAGTGCAAGAAATTAGAAGAAGAAATCAGTGTTTTTGAAGAATTTTTGAAGATTTTCTTTATGGATTTTTTTTATGTTCTTCATGTTCATCTTTTTCTTTTGAATTTGATCCAAAAAAATTTAAATTTTCGTGGTTTTGTGTTAAATCAGTAATCGTTGTGTATGTTTTTGCTTCGTGAATCTTTGTTATACACAAAGATTTGTGTTTTAATATTTGTTTTTTCAAGTTTTAGTGAATTTTTGTAGTTTTAAAGTTTTTCGTGTTCTTAATTTTTTTTTAAATCTGTGTTTTTGATCTATTTTTTTTTAAATCTTTTGTTTGTTTTTTGTTTTTGGATCTAAGTAGCTAAGCCCTTCCGGATTAGGCCCAACAGGTTTAAATCGATCAACTAATTTGGGATTCCATTTAATCGATCAGCAATAAGTTTGTTTGGTGACCGAATTTTGGCTAAACTATTTTGAGGGTTTGTGTGATTAAGTACTGTATAGCTTGAGCAGACTAGGCAATTCATCGCAGATAGCTTGATCGAATAAGGATGCATACAAAGCATGAGCGGTTAATAGACTTTCTAGTACAAAGCTTAAACGATTTAGAGAGTAAATCGCTGACATCTTGAAAGGACAAGGGATTAAATCGCTGAAGAATTAAGCGGACTAAGGTTACATCGTGCAAGGATTGAACGATTTAAGGTCTACATCGCTTAAGGCTTGAACGATTTATTGTCTAAATCGGAGACATTTTGATCGGACTTGAGTGTAAATCGGAGACTGTATGAGCGAGTTAGTGTGAATCGCTAAAACTTAGTCGGTGCAGATTGTTTATCGGTCACAGCTTTCTTATTCCCCATCCGATTTATTTGTCTAAATCGATCAACAGCTTCTTCATTGTTCAGACCATAAATCGAATCACTGCCTTCATCGTTCGAAGATTCATCACAGGACTTGTTCGATTTCTGGTTTCCAGAAAGTTGCCGAGATTCAGTTTCCAAATTTGATTTACGATTTTGATTTCTGTTCCAGAATTTGATTAATTAGCATTGTGATTCTCTGTCTGTTGTTTTATTTTGAGGTTTTTGTGGACTAGGATCTTTTGTGCTCAAGGCTTGAGCGGATTTCATTAAATCGCTCAGGCTAAATCGCTGGTTTATCCCTTGACCGAATTCTCTAAATTGTACAACGGGTCAACTGTTTTAAGGTATTCACAGGTTCATCATAGTCTGTTTTTGGGATTTGTTTTGCTGGCCTTGGACTCTGATTGTGATTAACATAGTCAAAGACATATTGTCCGATTTATGTGATTAATAGCTCAGATTGTTCGATTTCTTTGGAAATAAAGTCGGTAGAAGTCCACAGCAGACTGTTCGCTGTTAGGTTGATACTCAATTCAGTCTTTTGAGCAGTATATGCACTAGTGAAGAAATTCTCATGTAAAGGTTACTGGATTGACAGTCTTATTGCAGTGGTGACTGGTTTAAATGCCCAGTTGAGAACCGTGAGAAGTGGATCCATATGGTCTGCTTTAGTTCCTGTTATTAATTGGATAAAAACTCGTGGAAACCCCCAGCTTGAGTTTCATGGGGTTAAAATTGAGCTTGGATGGTTTCAAGCCACTGCTAGTGGTTTCTATCATTTGGGCATTTTGGTAATTGTTGGTCATAATTCTCTCCACAACCTCCACCCGCCTGATTTGATAGAAAACAGTGAAAAATCTCCAAGGCATTTTGCAACCATTCCAGACAATAACAGGTTATGTACATAATGAAGAGTGAATAGAGTAAAGCCATTTTTTTTAAGAATTTGTGCTGCACTCTTGAAATTTTTCACAAAGTCCATTATCACATCACATTTAACTCCACACTCATTGTTGCTGTTTGTCCATAGCTCATATTCAATGATCACAGAATAGTGTTTTTCAATCGCAAAGAGAGTTTGCACAGAGTATTGAAGTGTTTTGGTTGAACGAAATTCCTTCACATCACCAGTCAAGGATCAACAGCAGCCTTGTTGATTTACTATTTTGTATTGGTTGCTGTACTGGTTGCTGTGACTTATGATGTTGAAGCATTAGAGGCAAAGAAATAAAAAAAATCAGCAGTTACTTGTACAAGAGAAGCAGAAGTCTGCTGCAGTTAGAGAGAAGCTAAAAGTTGCAGTTAGAAGAGTGAAGTCCTTGATTCAATAGCAAGATGGTTTGAAGAAAAACATCAATGGTTTGACATCTGAGGGAAAGCGATTGCTTGTGATAGAAATACAAGCAAGAGATTGACATCTGGTTTAATAAACTATCAGTTGGATTACTACCGGAAGTCAAGTTCTTGATGAACTGTTAGGAGGTGGTATTTCATAATTTTTGCATTGGTTTCAAATATTGCAACAGGTCAAGGAATGTGTGTTAACTGATGCAACACATGCAGAATTTGAAGAGGGTTTAAGTTTTTTTAAGACTTACATTGTGCAAGTTGATATTGGTTGTATTAAGCTGGTAAATTGTAATCTGTCTTATGCACTAGCAGCATATCCAGCATCCTTATGTATGCAACCTTGCTTCTTGTTGAATAAATCTGCAATAATGACAAACAAGGACATGTTAAAGATTTATGTTAACAAAACTCTCAAGAAATTTCCACACTAACAAGATCAAAATCAAGCTCCTTTCCTAGCGGATACACATAGCCGGGCACCCACATCTACTGTCGACATTCATTCGTTGAATATTGGTATTCAACAAGACATTGTTATCCCAGCTATGCATTTGCACACCTAACCTGACCACTCAACTGGTTCTTAACAACCAGCTGTTTCATTTGAACACGGGGATGTAGCACATCTGCTATCTACTTCTCATTTGGAGAATGTAGTTATTGAAACAAGTARGCCGCTGCCCCAGCCTACGACTTCGATTCTGTGCACCTCAAGTCTAGAGCCGATACACATAGGTACACATGAGTCTCGATGATTTGTTGCTCCAATTGCAGTTCTTAATGAACTAACTGGAACGACCAGAGTGGTGTCGATTGACCTCCCACAAGGACCGGTCGGAAGTCCTACCAGTGCTATCACTATGCCAACACTGAACGTAGGCACAACAATTTACTCAACTGTTGTTTCAACTGGTAATCTAAGTGATCCAGGTGTTAGTTTACCAGAACTTGTGTCAAGGGAATATCTGGACGGCGCCCTAAAGGCTGTTCAAGACAACATGGATGCACATATTGCTAGTCTTAAAAGACTGTTGAAGGGGAAAGAGCAAGTTGAAGAAAAGCAACCATCTGCGCCATCACCACAGCCTGTACCTGAGCCTCCGAGGGTACAACATCAATCGGTGGACGAACTCAAATCGCTGCTTTATGCTAAGTTGATGGCATCCCAAAATCCCGATGCAGAAGATGCAGATTTGGTTGGGCTCTTGAGACAACAGATTGATGAAAACCCTCATGTTCGAGCCTAAGAGTTTTTGGCATTTCAAGATGTGGTTTCTTCTAGCTTCACCAAAGTTAGTAAGTTAATCACATCAAACATCGAAGATCTTAAAAGCTCAATGGATGCCCTCTTTGAACGAGTATCTATTCTAGAAGAGACGTGCAGAGCTCAGGCCACCTCACACAAAAGAAGGCATGATGACCCGGAAGATCCAGATCATCATGAGGGGGAGAGGAAAAGACAGGGTGGCTGAGAATTTTGCTCAAGCTCCGAGTGTTGAAAGAGAGCCAGCTGCTCAAGATGTGGATGTTGAAGGTTCTGCCCCGGAATCTACAAGGGGAAGAATCATTGAGGCAATAGTGATGGAGGATGATGAAGAGATGGGGACAAGTCCAGCGATCGAGCCAATGGTTGAAAAACCGGCGGACTCCACAGTAGGAATAAGGTTGCTACTGGACTTGTCGGCCAATGTCGGGTTCAATGACGTGTTTGCTACTGTACTGGGTGGAGAACAAGATTTTGGAGAAGATATTGAGAATATTGACGAGTCATCCGGGTTATACTGACTTTGAAGCTGACATCAATGAGGAAGACCCAGTATTCCCGTTTCAGGGTGATCGTCAGACAGTGCCAGAATCCTCCACTGCAGCTGTAGCTGGTGCATCTGATATTCCTGCTCCTAGAGAGCCTTTTGATCCGACAGAGATTTTTACAAGGAATTATGTGCCATTCATTATTCGAGCCAATGTTCCAGGGTATGACAGGGCTAGGATTCGAGAGCCGTATCTTGAAGACATCTACTTTGGCATCTTTTTCCGACATCGTAAAGCTCTGAGTGGTGATAAAATTCTTGGTATCCACAGGGAAACCAAAGATTATCGCTTGGAGTACAAGCACTTTCTGAAAGCCAAGCGCCTGCCTATAAGTGAAGTAAGGACCAAACATCGAGTTATGTCAATCAAACAGATAGATGCTCAAAGACTTCTCAGAGTCTGGTATCCGGTCTTCACTGTGACACGACAAGATGGTAAAGTCTGGAGATTTAGTGAAGCTGATTTTCAAACTTATATTTGGAAGACTTGGAGTATATGTATTGTGAAATACGAAACATGACTAACATGAAAGATGGAGCTTTTGTTGCTCTCAGTGCAATTAAAAGATTTATGCGAAGTCATGTTAAGGTGGCTATGGTTATTGATGTTCAGATGGGTCTTGAAGATAATCAAAGAATCATAAATCTGAAGAGACATGATCAAGATTTAGAAGACATTGATGCCTATCCAGTTTACATGATTCTCGAACAACCAGAGTTCGGAGTTATATACTATGCTGAGCATCAAGTAAAAAAGTTTATGAGATTTAGCGAGCTAAACAAGTATTCTGATGGTACAATTAGACTGGTGAGACGGGCACTTGACACGACGAGAGTAAACAATGACAAAACTGCGGAGTCGGAGAGGATGAGCTCAAAAGATAGATATTTGTTGATCAATGCCCTGAATCTGCTCGAGAAGAAGATTCAATACTAGAATGCTCTAAGAAGGCTGAAGAAACTTCTCGGACTCAGAAAGACAAAATTTACGAGAGTTCGAACTTGAATCCAAAGGGGGAGAATGTTGGGTTCAAGTATGTGCGTTATTGATTGTATTCAAGTTCTCCATTTTATATGCTTTGTAATAGTTAGTTTAATGCTTTCCTTAGTATAAATAGTGTTTAGCTTTGTAATTAGTCATTATCAATTCTGTAATTCTTTGATTAGTATTGTAATTCTCTCTCAAGCAATCTACAAGAGATTTGGTGATAATTTCTCTCTAAACTTCATCTTATTTCTAATTCTTGAAGATCATGATCAGAATTGTATGAATTTGGGCATTTCATAAATAATATGGATTATGTTATTGAACAAAATGTCTCTGAAGTGTTCATCACAAGTTCACTTATGAACAACGTTGAATACATTTCATTTTAACTTATGGACATATGCATTTTTCACCTATGAACCCACAAGTTCTCTAATCTGGTTCATTTATGAACAATGCTCGTGTTTATGAACATATATTTGAATTTGGTGGTGTTGTTCAATAATGAGCAACATTCAGTTATCTTGTTCACGATGTTGCTTATAAACATTGTTCATTAACACATGATTTTTTTATTATGACAATATCATATGTTTAAAATTCTCTCTCACTGTTATGAACACAAATGACGCCCACATCTTTTCATTATGAGTAAATTAGTTTCAATACTTAAAACTGTTGATGAATGAAGCACTATTTGTTTAAAAGAACAATCTATTTAATACAATAAAAGTAACTTACAAAAAAGTCACATAAAAATAAAAATTAATGCAATAAAAGCAACTTAAAAAATGAAAATTACCCATGTTCCCTTATCATGAATTCCATCTTGTGAAGTAAGAATGACTAGTGAATGATTATGATTGTTTCAATGGGTTCACATAGTTAACACAATTTTTTTGTTAACAGAAAATCCTCCCAATATACACACAGATATATATATATATATATACATACATATATATATATATATATATATATATATATATATACTAGTGATGTATCCGCGCGATGCAGCGCAGGTGAATCACAATTCTGAAACATTAGTTTGACCTTGAATCATGAGTTTGTGTGGTTATTTTGTAAGTGAACTAATATGTAAAATTAAAGGTTAACATGGTGTATTAGCAAGATCGAATGAAAAAATAATTGCACGATGCGGCGGAAAATAAAACTTTATTGGAAACTACATGTTTTTGGCACAACAATATTAGGGTTATTGATATATCCCAAAAGCATTATAAAGCTAAGGAACTTTAAACCCAAGAAGAAGATCAATAAGACGAAAAGATACAACAAATCAAGTTAATGTGATTCATCAATTTAAAAGTACAAGGCTTTAATTCAAAAGTTGAAGCATTAAAAACAACGCAAGTATAAACCAACCAAGGCTTCTTTTATCATGGTTGTCTATTATCTTCAAGCAGAAAATCCAAGACTATTTCCTTTAATTCTGATAATATTCAAGCAAAAGATCCAATGAATTATACTCGCTTTGTGAATCGTCCGTCCATGTCCAGGTCCTTCGTCACCTTGCTCGCTCAAGTGAGAGCCATCATCGGTCTTTGTTTTATGAAGGCCATGCTTTATTATGAATTTGTCAACTACTCGGTAAACCTGCTAATTGAAGATGTTTTATGCAAGGTATAAACTTTTTGATAGGGAGGGGGAGACCCCTCCAGATCAATAAAAAACACTAAAACGATAAAAAGAAACAATGAAGCGCTCGGGTAGGAGGAAACCTCAACTACCAGAATCC